AATTTTTACCTAAAACTGAAAAATCAAAGAATAAAGAAAAGACTTATACTGGTGCTTCCAAAAGAGCTAAAAAGAGAAACCTGTAACAACGGTTTCCTCTGCAGACTATCAGATCCTGTGCCTTTGTTAGAAATGGCTATAAAATTGACTCAGTTTTCTAACAATCTACATGAACACCTAAGAAGGAATCAGAGTTTTCAGAAGAAAATAATAATCACTAAAGTTTCACTGAATTTCAACTTTTTCTAGGCATTCATTACATGTTTTCACTCATCTAATACTCATCTCAAATGTACGTGAGGTACTATTATGATGCCCGGTTTATACGTGAATAAACTACAGCACAGGGAGATTTTAACACTTCCATAAACACAGCTTCCATTTCACAAGTCAGAATCTGAACCTATGAGTTCTGGCTTCATGGGAGAAAAGGTAGTTACTAGAGAAAGACAATTATTCCTAGTGCTAAGTGCATAAAGAAATATCAGTGAATACATTAAATAATATTTATAATTTGTAACAGAATTATCTCCATGATTGTACCTATCCTGTGGCTATCTTATAATTAAAACACATTTTTCCCTTGTCCACAGAGATAAAACATGAGAGACTGAGTCAAATGTCTACATTTGGGACATCTCTGACAAAACAACATCATAGAAAGCTAAATTACATACCCAAAATTAATTGGAAGGTAGTTTGTGTAAATTTTAATTAGTCCCTTAATATCTAGAGATTCCTGCTTTCTTTTCAGAGGTATATGATCAGTATTTTTATCATTTTGAACTAATTATTTTTATTTTTCTAATAACTTTATAATTTCATGTTTAAAAGTATTTTCCCATTACTTTACATGGACCAACAGACATCAGGATCTTCTAAGGATCTCCAAGAAAAGCATCATTTAGTATGTTCTGATTAAAAATGGATTTTAAGTAGCTAAACCTGTGGATTCAAATGAACTGAATCTAAACTATTTAAATTATGCTTTATATATTGTAGGATCTGACAATAAGAATAGAACATTTTTCTAACTTTAACTATATTACATTTGGCAAGTTACCTTCTAATAAGCATCAAAAAGATTACAGGTTTTCTTTTTTTTTTTAAGATTTTATTTATTTATTTGACAGAGAGAGATCACAAGTAGGCAGAAGAGGTAGAGAGAGAGGGGGAAGCAGGCTCCCCGCTGAGCAGAGAGCCCAATGCAGGGCTCGATTCTCGGACCCTGAGACCATGACCCAAGCCGAAGGCAGAGGCTTAACCCACTGCGCCACCTAGGTGCCCCAAGATTACAGGTTTTCAAGTAATTTACAACATTTTCTTTTTAGGTTTTCACCAGGAAATATTGAAATATACAATAAATACACTCCAAAAAAAATTTTTTTTTAAGAATTTATTTATTTGACAGAGAGAGATCATAAGTAGGCAGAGTGGCAGGCAGAGAGAGAGAGAGGAGGAAGCAGGCTCCCCACTGAGCAGAGAGCCCGATGCGGGACTTGATCCCAGGACCCTGAGATCATGACCTGAGCTGAAGGCAGAGGCTTAATCCACTGAGCCACCCAGGCGCCCCCCAATAAAAATTTTTAAAAGAAGAAACATACAATAGAAACATACTAAGTAGTATGAATCTAAAGTCAAAAGGAGAGCCGTAAATGTGTTATGCACTACATATTAGAGAGCACGAGTTAATCCAGAAAGCGAATGGACTGACAAAGTATGCAGAATTGCCTAGAGCATGGTACTGAACCTTGGTCAAAGCTGCGAGATATACTAACCAGGGAAAAAAGGTGTTTTGCAAATAGGGGTCCATGAGCTGTTTCAAGGCAAGACAGACTAACCTGTCAAAGTTGTTTGGTAATAATCACTGGATTTATTTCTTCTACCTAGATTTTGTGGAGTCCAGGGGTTTTCAATGATTTCAATGAGAAATCCCTACCACACACAGATTTTGGACTTCTTGGTACCAAGATGCTCCATACACATGCCCGTGGTGGTTTTGCATCTGGAGACCAGCAAGTCCTGCGAGGCCCAGAAGAGGGATGATAAAGAAGACTGTGTCTTGAGTTCACCATGCCCACCCTTTCCCCTGCTGTTGCTGTGCTGCATTATTTCTGACTATGAACTATTTAAGGAGTCTTTTCCTAATCAATTATGTTAAATGATTACATGATATTAGCATAGTAGTTATCCTCAATGCTTAGTTTTTAAATGACATCAGTAAAATGAAGGAAATAGTCATTGTTTACTGATACTTTGAGTCAGGCCTAGACTTCCAGTCCCCCAGGACCCCTCACCTGGTTTGAGCCGAACTACTTCTTAACTCATAAAAATGATGCAGAGTTGAAAAACATATAAGCCTTAAAAATTATCACATTAAAATACCTGTAATTTCTCCAGTGTGTTAAAAAATATCATAGTAATGGAGTCTTTTGTTAGTAGTATTAGTTCATAAACTCAGGTATTATAATTTAAAGTTTAATAAAATAAAGCAGACTGAGGTCAGATGGGAAACGATTCTCTGTAAGGGCAGACGAAGTCACAAAATTCACTGTGTGATTTTGATGCATATCCAAATCCTGGTACCAATTTCATATACATTTCCATGAAATAAGTAAAAATCTTGACCTCTAATACTTCAGAAATAATCACCAACCAAATCTCAGTTTCATTTTTCTCACCACTTCTAGCTTCCTATCTTTCTCCCACTTGTATCTTTAGAGCCATGGCTTCCACACATTCCTCCCAGATATGTGCTTAGTAGTTAGGAAAAATATCAAACTAAATTTACTAATTTTTCAGATATCCCTTTTTGAAAATAAATTTCAGTAACCACTAAATGTGATAGCTAAGTTATCATTTATAATCATTACCACCTAAATTATATTCACAGAACTTCAATATTACTTTTGATAAGTTAAAATTGAGAAAAGACTTACTCCTTATATTCCATTAACTAAGACCCTGGGCTAAACAATTTGGGGTATAAGGAGGGGTAAAGGTCCCATTTAATATCAAGATTTGTGCAAAGTGAATGAGGAAATAAATGTATGCCTTTAAAAGATGAAAGTAATATTCTATAACCTCAAGGTTAAAAAAGTAGTATGAATGATGAATGCTACCAGGAAGAGAGACCACTAGGGGATATGGAGGTCAAGGAGGATTTCTTGGAGGGTAAAGGAGTTGAAATATGTTCCTCAAGATAAGTAGGTTCTAAACAGAAGACAGTATCTTAAACAGAAGAAATGACAGAGAGAAAGGCACAATAATAAAACAATAACTCAAGTCACATTTGAAGGAATATGGCTACCCCAGTGTGACTGTACCAAAGCATGAATACAGGGAGAGGTACGTGATAAGACTGGGTGACGAAGGATTTTAATACCAGGATATAGAGCTTCGATGCTGTACAGAATGGGGGGCCACTGAAGGTGTCTGAAGAGGAGAGGCACGTGACGGATGTGGAATTATCGCTTCTACCCAAAGGTCCCAGATCTTCCAGGACTTGAGTTACACAGAATGAGTTCATTCCTTTTGCCAAAATAGCCCTTCCTAGATTTGAAAACTGCTATTATTTTCCTCCACTCGGAGGAAGTATACAAAGAACAGACTGAAAAAGGGAGAGACTAAAATCCGAAGATAGCTGAGATGCCATTTGTAATTTGTAGGAGGATTGAAATAAAAAAGGATGGCTATGATTTCATGGAACTAAAAACTTCCTTGCAACTGAAAAATGTTCTTATAAAAAAAGAAAGAAAAAAGAAAAATATTCTTACAACCTGAATGTGTATCTTATTTATTTCACTTTAAAATTCATTTCAAATCTTAATGGGCAGCTTTACAACCAAAGTTCTCTACTGACAGAGGAAAGTGCTGTCTCAAGAAAGGACAGTAATCTGCAGAAAGACAGTCCCGTTTCCTGAGTGAGCCCACCCACGCAGCTCTAAGAGAGCCATCAGACGGTTCTTCCTGTGCTCTTTCCAATTATTTCACACACTTTTTTCAGGATTATGGGTAGTCTTGAAGCATCAACATAGCACCCATAAAAGTCACTGATGCTGTATTCCTTAAACACTTCCTTCAGCATGAAAGGGTATTTTCCAACTAAAAAATATCTAAATTTTAAAACTTAAACCCATGTTTGTGCAACATAAAACCCGCTGCAATAAAATCTCCACGTTACCCTCTTTACAGTAATAGTGATTCAATGATATTTGGCCGTGACACTCTGATGATAACACTAAAACATTTTGATAACTGCCCATACTAATGTCACCTATGTGTTCCTTTGTAGGATTGATGGGAAAATATAAAGACATAAGCAACATAATATTTAAAAATAAATACCCTATGACCAAATAAAATGGATTTCAAACCTTGATCTTAGTTGGCTCAGGACTATTTTCTTATCTGTTTTCTTAGCTACAATTTTCAGAACCCCCAGGACAGATATATATTTCAAGGTTAAAAAGAACGTACCCTCTGTCCTATTAAGTTGGCAGAGTTACAATTTACTGAAGATTAGTCCTATAAAGTCTATACAGAGATTTTTTTAAATGCATGTATAAACCTCAAATAATTTAGCCAGTTTATCTAAAAACATGTAGCACTAGATATATGTATAACCATTTCAATTTCTATTTACTGTATTACTAGTTTTATTAAAAGGATTTAGAGTCTAAATTCATGTTTGTTGAGGACTTAAGTAGAAATTTTATGCAGTTAGGCATACTAACATAGTTCAGTGATTAACCATATTGAGTCACATCGTACATTTCATATCTTTGTGTCGTCCTAAAATACCATAATTTTTGGTCTTATGTTACATTTGCATAAACCGATTACAATAAAGAAGGAAACATTAAAAATTAAGGCAATTGTTAAGTATTTAGATAAAATCTTCATTGTAATTACATAAAATGATAGGTATAATCTAGAAAACTAAAATATAACAAAATGTTAAATAATAAAATTATATATATCTGAAGACACATATTTACCTGACATTGCCCTTGGTGTTTCTGAGAACAGTTGCAGCAAAATTCTGTGTGACACCCACCAAGCTGATTCCATCCACTTCCACAATCTGGTCATTGACTTGTATTCTTTGGAAAGAGGAGAAAAATTAACCACAATTAACTTTTCTGATAGTACATTACCATTTTCAATACATGATTGACAAAATACTTGATTTTTATGATACTCTTACTGACCTGAAATTTGTCTTTTATCCACCAGCTCCCAATCTTAGTCAAATACTTAATGTTTTTAAAAGACTGTTTTGAAAAACAGATTGTTTCGAAAAGCAATACTAAATGGAGAGATTCAGGTTACCCAACATTTGTATTCCTATCACAACAAATTGACAACTGCTAACGTATGACATACTTACATCCTTTCTTGTCCTTAATGAATTACATAAAACCTATAAGATCCAGCTGAAATATGCTGTGGGCTTCCTCCCTAGTCCTTCTTCCCACCTCTCCTCTTCAGGAAAAAAACATCAGGAATTGCAGGTAATCCGTCCTATTCAAGTTGTACGCTTAACACAGATAATGCTCATAACTGTATGTATGTGTTTATGTGCGCACACATGTATATAAATGTATATGTTTATGTTTAAGAGCATATATAGTACTAGTGTTCTTTAATGTTCTATCTTGTTTATTGTTCTTTACTGTTTAGTGTTCTTTATACACATGTTTTATACATACCATTTTTTAAATATTTTATTTTATTTTCAGTGTTCCAGAATTCACTGTTTATGCTCCACACCCAGTGCTCCATGCAATACGTGTCCTCCATAATACCCACCACCAGGCTCACCAAACACCCCACCCTCCGCCCCTCCAAAACCCTCAGTTCAGTCTCTCATGGTTTGTCTCCCCCTCAAATTACCCCCAGTTCACTTCTCCTCTCCGTCTCCCAATGTCCTCCGTGTTATTCCTCATGCTCCACAAGTAAGTGAAACCATATGATAATTGACTCTCTCTGCTTGACTTATTTCACTCAGCATAATCTCCTCCAGTCCTGTCCATGTTGATACAAAAGTTGGGTATTCATCCTTTCTGATGGAGGCATAATACTCCATTGTATATATGGACCATATCTTCTTTATCCATTTGTCCATTGAAGGGCATCTTGGTTCTTTCCACAGTTGGGCGGCTGTGGCCATTGCTGCTATGAACATTGGGGTACAGATGGCCTTTCTTTTCACTACATCTGTACCTTTGGGGTAAATACCCAGTAGTGCAAATGCAGGGTCATACGGTAGCTCTATTTTTAATTTCTTAAGGAATCTCCACTCTGTTTTCCAAAGTGGCTGCACCAACTTGCATTCCCACCAACAGTGTAAGAGGGTTCCCCTTTCTCCACATCCTCTCCAACACTTGTTGTTTACTGTCTTGTTAATTTTGGCCATTCTAACTGGTGTAAGGTGGTATCTCAATGTGGTTTTGATTTGAATCTCCCTGATGGCTAATGATGATGAACATTTTTTTCATGTGTCTGTTAATCATCTGTATGTCCTCTTTGGAGAAGTGTCTGTTCATGTCTTCTGCCCATTTTTTTGACGTGATTATCTGTTTTGTGGGGGTTGAGTTTGAGGAGTTCTTTATAGATCTTGGATATCAGCCCGTTGTCTGTGTTTTCATTTGCGAATATCTTCTCCCATTCCGTGGGTTGCCTCCTTGTTTTGTTGACCCTTTCCTTTGCTGTGCAGAAGCTTTTGATCTTGGTGAAGTCCCAAAAGTTCATTTCCGCTTTTGTTTCCTTTGCCTTTGGAGACATGTCTTGAAAGAAGTTGTTGTGGCCGATGTCAAAGAGGTTACTGCCTATGTTCTCCTCTAGGATTTTGATAGATTCCTGCCTCACGTTAGGTCTCTTATCCATTTCGAGTTTATCTTGGTGTATGGTGTAAGAGAATGGTCGAGTTTCACTCTTCTATACATAGCTGCCAATTTTCCCCACACCATTTACTAAAGAGACTGTCTTTTTTCCACTGTATATTTTTTCCTGTTTTGTCAAAGATTCTTTGACTGTTGAGGGTCCTTATCTGGGCTCTCTACTCATTGGACCAGATGGACCTCATAGATATATACAGAACATTCCACCCTAAAACAACAGAATACTCACTCTTCTCAAGTGCACATGGAACTTTCTCCAGAATAGACTACATCCTGGGTCACAAATCAGGGCTCAACCAATACCAAAAGACTGAGATTATTCCCTGCATATTCTCAGACCACAATGCTTTGAAACTGGAACTCAACCACAAGAAAAAGCTTGGAAGGAATTCAAACACTTGGAAGCTAAAGACCACCTTGCATAAGAATGTTTGGATCAACCAGGAAACCAAAGAAGAAATTAAACAATTCATGGAAACCAATGAGAATGAAGACACTTTGGTCCAAAACCTATGGGATATGGTAAAGGTGGTCCTAGGGGGAAATACATAGCCATCCAAGACTCCCATTTTTCTGGAAAAATCCAGAATATACCAGCTCTCTTTATACCTTAAAGAACTGGAGAATCAACAACAAATTAAGCCAACCTCACACACAAGAAGGGAAATAATCAAGACTAGAGCAGAGATCAATGAGATAGAAATTAGAGATAAAGTAGAACACATCAACAAAAGTAGAAGCCGTTTTTTTTGAAAGAATCAATAAGATAGATAAACCACTGGGCAAACTAATCCAAAAGAAAAGAGAGAGGATCCAAATTAATAAAATTATAAATGAAAAGGGAGAGATTATGACTAATGCCAAAAAAATTGAAACAATCACCAGAAATTATTATTAACAGTTATACGCCAATAAGTTAAGCAACCTAAATGAAATGGATGCATTCTTAGAAAACTATGAACTTCCAAAACTGAATCAGGAAGAAATTGGCAACCTGAGTAGACCAATATCTAGTAACGTGATTGAAGCAGTGAGCTAAAAACCTCCCAAAAAACAAGAGCCCAGGACCTGACAGATTCCCTGGAGAAGTCTACCAAACATTCAAAGAAGAAATAATATCTATTCTCTTGAAGCTGTTTCAAAAAATAGAAACAGAAGGAAAACTTCCAGACTCTTTTTATGAAGCCAGCATCACCCTGATCCCCAAACTAGGCAAAGACCCACCAAAAAAGAGAATTTCAGACCAATATCCCTGATGAATATGGATGCCAAGATTCTCAACAAGATCCTACTTACAGGATCCAACAGTACGTTAAAAAGATTATCCACTATGACCAGGTGGGATTTATCCATTGGATGCAAGGGTGGTTCAACATTCGCAAATCAACCAATGTGATGGAATAAGTCAATAAAAGAAGAGAGAAGAACCACATAGTCCTCTCAATTGATGCAGAAAAAGCATTTGACAAGATATAGCATCCATTCCTGATTAAAACGATTCAAAGTATAGGGATAGAAGGAACATTCCTCAACGTCATAAAATCTATCTATGAAAAACCCAAGTGAATATCATCCTCAATGGGGAAAAGCTGACAAGCCTTCCCTTTGCGATCAGGAACATGACAAGGATGTCCATTCTCACCACTTTTATTCAACATAGTACTGGAACTCCTAGCAACAGCAATCAGACAACAAAAAGAAATAAAAGGTATTCAAATTGGCAAAGAAGAAGTCAATTTCCCTCTCTTCCCAAATGACATGATACTTTATATGGAAACCCAAAAAACTCCACCCCCAAACTTCTAGAACTCATACAATAATTCAGTAATGTGGCAGGATACAAAATCAATGTACAGAAATCAGTTGCTTTCTTATACACTAACAATGAAAATATAGAAAGGGAAATTAGAGTATTGATTCCATTTACTATAGCACCAAGTACCATAAGATACCTGGGAATAAACCTAACCAAAGAGTAAAGGATCTGTACTTGAAGAACTACAGAACACTCATGAAAGAAATTGAAGAAGACACAAAAAGATGGAAGAGCATTCCATGCTCATGGGTCAGAAGAATAAATATTGTTAAAATGTCTATACTACCTAGAGCCATCTATACTTTCAATGCCACCCCAATCAAAATGCCACTGGCATTTTTCAAAGAGCTGGAACAAACAATCCTAAAATTTGTATGGAATCAGAAGAGCCCTCGAACTGCTAAGGAAATGCTGAAAAAGAAAAAACTGGGGGCATCACGTTGCCTGATTCAAGCTTCACTACAAAGCTGTGATCACCAAGACAGCATGGTACTGGCACAAAAACAGACACATAGACCAATGGAACAATGTAGCAAGCCCAGATAAGGACCCTCAACAGTCAAAGAATCTTTGACAAAACAGGAAAAAATATACAGTGGAAAAAAGACAGTCTCTTTAGTAAATGGTGTGGGGAAAATTGGCAGCTATGTATAGAAGAGTGAAACTCGACCATTCTCTTACACCATACACCAAGATAAACTCGAAATGGATAAGAGACCTAACGTGAGGCAGGAATCTATCAAAATCCTAGAGGAGAACATAGGCAGTAACCTCTTTGACATCGGCCACAACAACTTCTTTCAAGACATGTCTCCAAAGGCAAAGGAAACAAAAGCGGAAATGAACTTTTGGGACTTCACCAAGATCAAAAGCTTCTGCACAGCAAAGGAAAGGGTCAACAAAACAAGGAGGCAACCCACGGAATGGGAGAAGATATTCGCAAATGAAAACACAGACAACGGGCTGATATCCAAGATCTATAAAGAACTCCTCAAACTCAACCCCCACAAAACAGATAATCACGTCAAAAAAATGGGCAGAAGACATGAACAGACACTTCTCCAAAGAGGACATACAGATGATTAACAGACACATGAAAAAAATGTTCATCATCATTAGCCATCAGGGAGATTCAAATCAAAACCACATTGAGATACCACCTTACACCAGTTAGAATGGCCAAAATTAACAAGACAGTAAACAACAAGTGTTGGAGAGGATGTGGAGAAAGGGGAACCCTCTTACACTGTTGGTGGGAATGCAAGTTGGTGCAGCCACTTTGGAAAACAGAGTGGAGATTCCTTAAGAAATTAAAAATAGAGCTACCGTATGACCCTGCATTTGCACTACTGGGTATTTACCCCAAAGGTACAGATGTAGTGAA